TGTATGTTATTATTTATATATAACAATATGCACTATATATATATATATATATACATGTCTATATATGTATGAATTTATACCTATATTTATTTATGTATATAAATGTGTGTGTGTGTTGGTGGGTGTGTATGTGTGCGTGTATACATTCTATTTGTATATAAACAAACATGGTGATTCATTTGCAGTCTTTATAAAATATGGTCTATTATATAAGTATCTCACAGTTTGCAACCGCTTCGTATGTCATTCGAATAGTTCAAGATCTGAGCAAAAGCGAGTATATCAATCTCGCACCACAAAAGCGTCATTTATCCGCTCAACAGTGTACTCGATAATTTTGTTTCGATGTAATCGGCTGCTCCTTGTTCTGCAGTTTCCCATTCCTGGCCTGACATCAGTTGTGTGCATAGCGGCTACGGTGCTTTTCCAACTGAATCCAGTAGTTCCGCAAGGTGAAGTATATACTCTTCAGAATCAGTCGGTATCTTTGCTTGTATTGTCTTGGTATTATCATATTGCTACAATGATACGTACCAAAATGTTTGTCCGCGGTGTAATATCCTGCTGTAGGCGAGTAAAACTCTTTTGTCGTCAATTACTTTAGTACTTGGCTCTGTTTAGATGACTACGTTATTTTGTTCAGCATTTCTCAATCCTTGACAGAGTTTGTAAAGCATATGACAGACCGGCACACTGGTGCGAATGATGTTTAGTATACTGAGTTATAGTTGGTATCACGGTGAAACATTTATCTACATCAATCACACACATGCGGTTGTTGTTGTCTTTCAAGCGCACTCGCACTAAACAATCATATCGATAATGCAGCCTTGTGGGAGGGAAATATTATACTAGCGATCGCGAGAGAATCGTTAGGACATGTTAGAATACGGTAGGAACAAGCACGTAATCTAGCGTATGCTACGTGCTTGTATTGATTTGGTACGACCTCTGCACCATGTAAACACGCGCGATAGAGTTGCTTCAAGGGCTCAGCAGAGTGGGATATATCTGTTTGAGTGTTGCATATCATCGGTGTCGATGAGAATGGGAAGATTTCAGTACTCAGTCACTAATCCATTTTCTGTATCCTTTATACACAGTTGTCAATCTCGCCCTCACTCCAGTACAACTGATGTGCATTCCCTTGTGGTTTGACGTTGGCAAATGGCTACTGAGCAGCGACGATGGGCTTCATTTCTCACCCACAGGTGCGTATTACCGTTCTGGTTGAGATACCTGATGCATTACCGCGTGTATATCCCCGTACTGTGGTTTTGTTATCCAGTCAAAAAGCAAGAGATGGTACTCGATTTTGTAGCCGATTCAGATATGCAGTGTAGCCAGATGGTAGATTGAATCGACACTTATGTCGCTATTCTGCTTTCATGTGCAGTCGGCATGCTAGGGAGGTAGCGGCTAGGCTATAGTATTCACGGCTTAGCTGAAAATTTGCTCTCGATTTCTTTCGATTTTCAGTATTCTTATTATGTAACGTCGAAATCAATGCAAAGTGGCTACAAAATCGAGGAGTACCTTATGAGCAATTTTGTTCCCCCGAAAACTATATTACCCCTGATTCATAGAGCAGTACAAATCGCGTTACCAGTCTCTTTCGACATTTGAAGTTGACAACTAATGTGGGTTCCTGTAGATTCTGTACACAATAGAGTAGAGAGGATGTGATGCACTTACTCACATGGCACATTTGAGCGAATTGGCTTCATTTCTCTCACTTCTACTGAATGAATATTGATGTTTTTTCTAATTATAGCACTCGTCAATGGGATTAAGGCGGATTTCTTTGGGACTATGGATGAGTTCAAGGTAAGATGGAAACTCTGACTCAGTCAGACGCGGTGCAAGTTCGGCAGTGCCTTCTATTGTGCTGGTTATTGCAATACCCTAAACAATAGCCCCCTTGATGTCATTGGATTTTGTAATAATACCGCACACTCCGTATATGGACATGTCATATAGATATGTGGTCTAGTTACAACCTCGTTCGACGATGATCCAACGCAGCTCAGATATTTTTCTTATCGCGTGCACTAATTAATTCATTTCAACCTCACTAATAACGAAGAAGTTACAATCCTGGTGTATCCTCAACTTCAGCCACTTTGTATGTAGTGCCCTAGTCGTTGATAACTAAGTGGTAGTTTCATTTACGGCTTCGCCACAGGATGTGATCCTAATTGCCATTGCGGGATGGACGCTCTTTATCATCCCGTCTCTCCTGCTTCTCTACTTTGCCTTTCTGCCCTTCATCAGCCGGTATGACTTGTCTGTAATGTTCGAGCCTGCGTAGCATGTTAGCTGAGCTCAGCGGCTGCTCTCCTCGGTTTTTCTGTGCGTTCTCTGCAAGTCCTATTTTCATCGATATCGACTAAAAGACTGATGGATGCTCATCCATACAAATTACACCGATCTCTACCAGAGTTCACGAGTATCCTTCTATGCACTGACATAGGATATACCTCTGTATAACGTCATATATTTATTCCGTCATCATGGTTATTTTACGTTGCACAGCGCTATGCCAAAGCCGAAGCCATCGGAGTAGCGCCTAGAGCGTTCGACGAAACCTACTTTCAGACGCACAGTGCTAGTTTCGGTACCACAGATTAGTCTGCTCAAGCGTCCTTATGCCATAGCAGTATGCTGATTTGGCGAAAGCAACTGGTAGTTAGCTTACCACTCATAGAATATAGTAATTTAGTGACCCAATTTTGATAGTACCGAACATTAAATTAATACATTCTTATTAACCAATGGGAACGCTTTATTCTTGACCAGTAACGTGAGTAGGATAGTTTTATATCCAATCGGGTCGGTAGTCGCCCTTTGCTGGGCGGTACGGACTGATATATTCTGGCGTTTGGCGAACTCCACTGCATATCGTATTTCCGCCTGGCCTCCAAAGTCATATTATCGGATGAATAAACAATACTTTAAGCATCAAAGTCGAGCAGGGGATTGACAGTGGTAGTGATGTAGACTGAAGGGCTTTCCCGACCTCATACCGAAGCATACTCCCACCCTCGAGGCAACTTATTTGAAGCTGCTACCGTTACACCCGATTTTGCTGTAACGATGGTATTCAGTCGCATGCCGCATATGCTGACGAACATTATGTTTGATTTTCAAAGTTGACTTCAATCAATCCAGCCTGCAACATATGAAAATGCAAAAGTAATTGAGAGAGGTGATTTCCGAGCATACAATACCCATTCACCTAGTATAGTAGATTTTGAATTATTTTTGTAAATGCTATCCTTCTTTTTATACATAATCGCTCCCTATTTAAAAACCTTATTTACGTATTTGTTTGGCTTCTCCTTTGGCCGCCTTTAGTGTTTTTAACGTCTCGAATATATACATATCGATCACGTCAGATGCCATCTCCTACGCCCTGATGAAATACAAAGAATCTTGGGTTCCGAGAATTCAAGTGCCAGGCCCAGACCGCAGCAACAATTGCTATAAACAGTTCTAGGAAACTTTCCTTTGGTTTTCATGTCGATTCATATACTTATTCAATAAACTTTCGAACTCATCTGTTTGAACATTTGTCTGGAGGACAATTGCTCACAACTTTCCACTGGGCAGTTCTACTTGGCAACTTCTCCTCGTTTGATTCGTGTGCTCTAATTTAGATATGGACATATACCAAACAAAGGTATGAACTACAAAATCATAACAAGTGATTCTGGTTGTGTGCAATGTATCGAAGGAATACGAATTTGAAAAGAATATCATAGTCATTTCCACGTTTTACATAATCAATTTGTGTTTGAGTTGTTTTGCGCTTTCGGGATCCGTCTATGGTTCTGAAACAATATTATGATGGGTCAACAAGGTTGAATCTGTGCAAAATCCCGCGGTATACCTCTGTTAGAAAGTTGTAGTCAGCCACAGTCTTTACTGAACAAATTCCTAATCTCAACTTACACGGTGCTAGTATAAACGTATTCCGTAATTCCCAATAGTGTTGTTCGCGTATTTCTCCATAAAGTTGTTGGAAAAATTCTAGCTTATGAATAGGAAAGATTTGACACCTATATATAATGAGACGACATACGATACCCGCCACGAAATATTCAATCGGAGGGAAATCACGGAGAATTTAACCGAAAAAGCGTTTCAATGCAACGAAACATTGTTCAAGGCCACCCCGTGGCTACCAGAAATTATAAACAATTGGCATGCTTGAATTGAAGTGGAGAGTATTGAAATGCATGTTCAGGTAACTGGAATCATATCCAAGGTACATGGACACTTACACATATATTTTCGGTTGTACACCTGTGTCCGTCATCGATGAATATACTTCAATGCAACCGAAAGAACAAGAAAAAGCACGGTAGTCCCAGCGAACTTTAGGTTGCGACGATATCAATGAATTTGCCTAATTAATCGAATAACTTTTTTGAGAAGGTTTAAACTACATATCTTCGATCAGCTTGCGTACGAAAGCTCTGACATGTATCGGTGTGGTTTATACGGAACGCTATGGGTTGGAAAATGAATCGCATTATACTCGATTATCCAAACAGTTCAAGATTGAGGCATATATTTCGTACGTGATATTTTGATTGACGTTTTGTACTAGGTGATGTATTACAAAGTACAGGTTCTCGACAGTGACTTTGTGACATTCCTTTGTGGATATTAAAATAGTCTGATTTGCAATCAATTCCCTTAAATAATTAACTGTATGCCTGAACTTTTTCAAATCTCTGATAAGATAGAATATTTGTGGATATTCAGGGTACTTTGGACGCTCACCTTCGACGTACTCTTCAAACACTACAAAGATGCTCAGAGCTTCTGTCTGTGGATAGAACTGTAACTTATCTGGCGTATATGTAGTATAGGTTCGAATTTCATCTGTCTTTTTAAATCAGTATCGCCTGGGGTATTCTATCCAGTGTCGATTTTCGAGTTCAGTCTTAGTGAGATAGACGCCAACATCATGAAATTAGTGAAGTTCATTATGATTATATGGTTTGATGCGAGTTTCTGAAAATCTATCAAATGTATAGTATATAAAGGGCCATGAAGGGAAGTTGCCATATGCTTATGAAAAATTGTTTTGTGTATAGAATTTGATATGTAATTTGTATAGTTTTTACTCATCTATTCGTTTCGAATAGATTTATTGTGCTATTAAATTCACATGAAACCCTTAACATAATTTTACCAAGGGGCACAGATACATAATTTGAGGAAGCTGGTTATCAAGCTTCTTCATGATTGCATGCTTGTGGGTGAATCAGAATGGATCAATTTTTCGAAAAAGTGGTTATTCTGGTTTTCAAGGACACGACAAGAGAAAACTTTATGTCCATTTTAGAATATCGGTTTAACACAGCTTTTTTACTATCCAAAAATTGTTTACAGACCGTAAATTGTATAGATATAAGTAAATAACAGAGTGAATCTTTTATACTATTTCTAGTCGTTGAAAACCTCCATTCTATACATAGTGACGATATAGAAAAGCTAAGAGCGGCAGAGTAATCGCCCGTTGTATTGGTTGACTTCGTATAGCGTTTGCCTATTTCTCTTTACCATATCAATATCCAAAAGTTTTCTTGACATCCGTGGTACTAAGAGGGACAAAGCATGTAGCCGCATTGTGTAGATACCGCTAGATGACTTTGCAAACTAGATGACATTGGCGACCATGTCTTTACGAGTTATGCCGCTCGTCTTTGTGGTAGTTGAAGTGGGGTTTTCGTTTTAAACAGGCCGGACTGCTAGCTCGCGCTGGGTTGTTCAATTTGGTCAAGTGATTTTCCAGAAAAGTCCCCATTCATCCAGCATAATACTATTCATGTGATATTGAAATCATTTTATTAATTGGGAGCACCATACTTCATGACCAATTTTGGGAGCCACTTTCTATTAGAGAATCGATTATGTGCCGAATCAGACCCTGCTTAAGCCTTTGGCCTGTGTTTTTAATTTATGAACACTATCGAGAAGATTAAATATCGTTTCGAAAATATCGGATACACACGATCGTCGGTCCCTAGAACTGAAGTACTTCGCCCATACCGTAGTCAGCATTCATCTCCTGGGATTAACGTAATCGTTGCATATATCAAATACACTCGTCAGGTTTTAAATTTGCCAATGATTCAATGCTTGTTCAAGATTGAAACTCACATGAATATATTTCGTGTATTTGTTTTCGAGCTCATCATTTTGACTATAAGTTTGGAGTGTACCATAAGATAACTGATTAATTTCTATATACTTTGTATTTCAATGATGATGTATGTGGTCTACATGGTATAAAAACATGTTTTCTTTTGGTATATTTTTCTTTCTTTCTTCTCAATTGGTTTTGATCCTTCGTATGCCTTTTGCCGAAAGGGTTGAACTTCGCGCGAATAACTGTACGACAGAGGTCTTTACTGTGCTCCAGCAATTGTCGTGTGATTGCAATGAGGTGTTCTTTCGCACCATACTTTCTGGTCGGTAAATTTTCCGACAAACATTATTCACAATCTGTTGCCTAATTCGCGAACACGCTCTACTGTGTTGCTAACATGCATACATTTTGTGCGTAATATGGTAAGGGCCCGTTTCTAGTATTTCAATTTAGCCCGCCTTTATCAGTGGTTTCATCTTTCGTTCAGCAAAAGGTAATTAAAGCAAGTGCATCCTTCAACTGCTTCTATAAAGGCAAAGAAAATCGACCAGACATCAAGGAGATGTGGTTGAAAGTTCCAATGCAATGCAGTTCATGGACTACATGATTCGATGGGCGATCACGCTTATATTGATACGTATAACTTCTACAATACTGGACAACAGATTGTTGACTAAAAAAAGTGGCAGGCATGTATCCCTCATCGTGAATATATCTACTTGTGAGGATATTGAAAGCTTGCATACTAACGCTATTAGATGGATAAGATTTATGGGTAAAATTACGTTAGAAATTAGTGTGAAATGACAACAATGTAAAATCGTGATACAATCCGAATATGTTTGCGACTCTCCAAATGTTACTAAAATCAAGGGGGAGGCGAAATTCAAACTATGAAAACCCTAAAACACGCTAAAAACTGAAGGTCAAACTGAAATGAAAACAACTGTTAGATTGAATATCTATTTGCAGACTTATACTCCGACACACGACTTTTAAAGTGTTTCGAAATGAAGATTTAAATTATTACGCCCTGAACGGCCAAAAAGGGTTTCCTTTGTTATGAACAAGTCTAAAAATACATTGAATTATGCAAGGCGTTTGTTTGCGAACCAGTCTTTCTTAAAACTGGGTCATCACACACAAATCATCACTGCGGTAACGGAACCAAAGAATGGGCTATATACAGAATTACTATACTATGTAAGAGATTTTGAAGCGTGTCATTCCATTGTAAAAACCAAATTTACAAATAATTTAACACACGACTTGAACAGCGGTGTGCTGAGCGAGTACGAAACCGATAAAGTTATTGTATATAAAATATGACAAATAACGTGACATGATGCTGGTCTCAATCAATATACTTCGGACAGTATGTTGTCGTGTGCCCATATGTATATGTCTTTTCTTACCTGACGTATACAAGAATCGAATGCAGGAATGTACTCAGATAATAAAAGAA